ATGTATCGGACTTTTTTCCGAGCCTGGCCCGGTTCGATCTCCAGGGTATTGAGAAGCAGATGCGGACGAAGCTGGTCCCCAGATTTGATAATATCTTCGATAAGATGATCAATCAACGGCTGGGATTTTCTGAAGGTGAAGCGAAGAGAAATGATTTTTTGCAGTTCTTGCTGGAGGTCAAAGATGAAGGCGACTCCAAAACTCCTCTATCCATGACCCACCTCAAAGCCTTGCTTATGGTAACCAATCTTCAAATAATTCTTAAAATCATTTAACTAAAAAAAAGTAAATTTAAAGTTTATAAATTTATTAAAATATATAAAAAAATATATTTAGGTGCCAGTAACGAGTACATATATCATACGTCAGACTAATAATGAGTTTTACAAATAAGAGAGAGAGGTGAAAAAAAATAAATTAAAATATGAAGATGTCAATTTTTGAAGGTTAGTGAGTTTCGAGATAATCTCTAAACATTTTCCCTAAAATATTAAATACAAATATAAAAATTGAAATGCTTAGTATATATTTTTTATCTATAAAATAGAGATACGTTGGATAATAATTAAAAAGTTTTATTGAAATGCTTAGTATATATTTTTTATCTATAAAATAGAGATACGTTAGATAATAATTAAAAAGTAGAAAAAACTTAACTCCTTGTAATGAACTCCTTCTTTACACTATTAAATATTTATTGACAACTAATTATTTCTTTTTAAATTTGTTAACTTTTGCATTTCTCTCTTTTCATCGTCAAATATTTAATGGGTTAAGAACCTCAAAAGTTTCGAGATGGATTAGAAATCACCTTGTAATTGAAGTTAAATTTCTAGGTAAAATATGAGAATTTGGCAAGAAGGTGAAGTAAGAAAATTGAGAATTTAGTTGGGAAATTTTGGCACATTTTAGTGGAAACAAAATGAACACTAAACATGTGGGCAGGACATGGTGATTGGCGGGACGGACACATCGTCAAACACCATAGAGTTTGCAATGGCAGAGATGATGAAAAACCCACAGGTCCTAAAGAAAGCGCAACAAGAACTAGCCGCCGTGGTGGGTGAAGACAACATCGTAGAAGAGTCCCACATCCAAAGCCTCCCATATCTCAAAGCCGTAATGAAAGAAACCCTGCGTCTGCACCCAATTCTGCCGCTGCTGGTGCCCCACTGCCCGAGCCAGACCACAATCATCTCCAAATACGCAGTCCCAGAGGGGTCCCGCGTGTTCATCAACGTTTGGGCAATCCAACGGGACCCCAACAATTGGGAAGATCCGCTGAGGTTTGATCCCGAGAGGTTTATGGATTCTAAGTGGGATTTCGGTGGGAGCGATTTCCGTTACTTTCCATTCGGGTCCGGGAGAAGAAACTGCGCGGGAATAGCCATGGCGGAGAGAATGTTTATGTATTTGCTTGCCACGCTGTTGCATTCGTTCGATTGGAAATTGAAAGACGGCGAGAAAGTGGAGACTGACGAAAAATTTGGGATTGTTATGAAGATGAAGACGCCTCTTGTTGCCATTCCCATGCCCAGGCTATCTAATCCCACTCTTTATCTTTAGTAAGCCTTCTCAAATACTGCACCTGCCTTTTGTTATCTAAAACTTCAAAGTTCGGTTCCATCTTATATATAAATATTATATGGACAAACTCCAAATTTTCAATTATAAATAAGTTAGAATTATACTCTTCTTTTCTTTTATGTTATTTTGAAGCCAGATTACATTATATTTTTGTCTATACTTTTTTTAGCTTTTAGTTTCCTCGTGAATTTTAACTAGGCCACGCTGGCGGGCTTACCAAGGGCCAACAAAGCTGGCCCGGGTTGACTTTTGATCGGGACAGCTGGCCACGAACTAGTGGTTGTCCTTGATCTTCATTTTTTTCATCCCTAACGTATTATACTTTTTTTTCTATTAATTAGTCATGAATTTTTCATATTCATCTTATTTTTATGATTTTCAAATATTTATTTTTTATCCTGTATTTTTAGAAGTTGATTTTTAGTTTTTAACAAAAACGAAATATAGGATCAATAAAAGTTTTGTAATATTATATTTGAAATTGTAATAAATAAATAAATAATCACTTGCAATATATAATGACACAAAAATTAAGTAAAATAACACATTTACCATCCACATTTAATTTAGTTTTTGGAAATGCATGACAATTAAAAAAAATTAAAAAAAGACCAAATTGTAGGTCAAATTTATCCTAAAAGTAAAAAACATTAATAGCACTAATACATGTTTGATATATACTTTTTTTTTATAATCGAAAATTCGACTGGTTGACAGATTAGATGGTTTTTGGTCGGTTTAATCCAAACTGAATCGAACTATATATACTTAGGGTTTCTCTTCAGCTTCTTTCCCCCTCTCTACGCTGCCTACCTCTCTAATGGCAACTCGTTGGTCTCTCCAAGAATCGCCTCCACCATTTATTTGCTCGCCCTCTCCCTCAATTTCTCCCTCTCCTCCATCCCCCTCTTTTGCCCTCTCCCTAGATTTATCTCTTTCTCCCTCCCTCCTCTATGTCTCTCCCATCTCTCTCCCTCTATTTCTCTTTCCTCCCTCCTCCCTTCGCATTCTCTCTTCTCCTTTTCTCTTCCTCGAATTTTCACGTTATCTTTCTGTCTTTCCTATCCGAAATAATTTCTTTAACAATCAAAAAACTCAACCCAAAAATATAAAAGTTGGATTGGATTGAATTGCAAACTTCAAGTTGGATTGGATTGAGTTGCAAACTTCATTCATGTCTTTAGATAGGTGAACCAACCAACTCCAACTCAACAACCAAATTTGAAACAAAATAAGGAAGATTAAATTTTAATTAAAAGAATAAAAAATAATTTTTTAAATAATTTTGTCATTTTTACAAAATCCAAAACTTCAGAGATTATAAAAATTGGAACAATAAAAATAAGAATAATTAAATTTCAAAAATAAAAATTAAAAATTTTTGTCATATTTTTAAAATACAAAAGATATTGGTGAGATTATCTAAAAAAACTTTAAAGATGTACTAACATTTAACGTCTCATGCGTACAAATCAGAGTATATATTAGAGGTACATATATAAGACGTATATTATATGTCATTAAAATTGTAATAATAATAATTTCAAAAATAAAAATTTAAATTTATTCACATATTTGTAAAATACAAGAAAGGTCGATAATTTTATAAATATGGCTAAAGATATAACAACTCAATACAATTAAAAAAAACTAGGCCGTTGGCTGGTTTTTTCGTTTTTTACTATAATATTGTATTCAAATTATAATAAACATATATAAAATAAAAAAAACAAAAGGACTTTGTTTTTAAAAATATAAGACTGAAAGAAATAAATAAATGTACATCTCGAAAATATTGAAGCCAACTAAAATAGGCCTTTAAATTTGGTTATGAGAATCGTCGTCTATGATGTCGATGCTGTAGGTGCATCATGTATGTGCGTCGTGATCTAAAATAGAGTATCGCCTGGCACATTTCTGTGCGTTTGATGAATGAGCTCAAAAATCTAATCATGAGCTAACTGCACTAGATCATTATTCATCAAAATTTTCTCTTCTTGACTTTATTAAATTAATGTCTTGACACAGACTACAGCCACAGCATTAAATTAGATGGATTAAAATATTATTGTTGGGTCTATCAACATAGTTCACTATTCAGTTATTAAAAAAAAAATATATATATATATATATATATATATATAGAGAAAATTCACTATTCAGATTTGCATTTATTAAAAAATTATTATATTATAAATAATTTTTTTAAAATTATAATTACCTAAAACATAGTTCAACTAATTTTGTAACTTACGAAATTTGTAACCTATGTAATGATACTATTCTCTTTAAAAGATTAAAATAAACAAGGGAGATACTAATTATATGACCATTAAATTATACATGTTGATCTATATACCACTTATTGATTATTATCCTCCCTCTTAACTTTTATTGCTATAAATATGTATTAATTATAATTATTGTTGTTATTAATTTTTTCTTGGAGTTTTAGAAAGGTAGTCAAAGTATTATTAATTATGTAATAATTTGTTTCCACCGTGTTTGCTTTTGTTTAGTCCAAAAATGGGTGGGGAAATCTAAATTGCTGACTTTTAGATGGACTAGAATCTTGTAGTTCTAAATTAAAGTAAAACAGTATTTTTTAAGTTTATAATATTATCATTTTAAAGAAAGAAGGTGATTATATATAAATATAAATTCAAGGTATGATATTGTTGTAATAAAAGAAAATGATGAAATATTAGCATGGAAAGTAAGTACAAATTTGAAGTGTAAGAAAGATGAAAAAGCACCAACGTGCAAGTTTTTTTTTTTAATGAATGAACGTTCTTAATTTACCTCTAATTTTCTTGATTATAAATCATTATATTACATTTTATCTTTGTTAAATTGTGTGATGTTAAATCATTGAGTTTGTTCATTCTAGAATGAAAAAAGAAAGGTAAGAGTGAGAGAAAGAGTAAGCCCTAAAAGGTCCAACCTGATGATATTGAGAGAAATAAAAATTGTTTGTTTGTCCTAATTTTGTAAAAATAATTACAACATTTCACATATATAAATCAAAAGCATCAGTTTAAAAAAGATAATAAAAATCAAACTCATAAGCATTCTTATTATCCAAATTATGAGAATAATCGAATTTTGCTTTATCTCGATTCCATCGACCACCATCTCGACACATCGTACTCTAGAATTTCTTTCAATCTAAACAATGATAAATTTGGGGAAAGTGAACCGATGTCATCAACTCAGCTTTAATTTGGTTTCTCTTCACTATCAATTCTCCTCTTGATCACTCATATGTGCATTGTTGTTGTCGTTGCTAAAGTAATAGAGTAATCTTCATGCTTTCACACCACTTGGAAAATTTTCCACTTTGTTCCATCCACCACTTCTTGATTTTTGGTTGGCATGAGAAAGATATGACAATATTTATATATGGATTAGAAGGAGATTAGGAAGATGAAAGGATTGGGAGAGGGTATGTAATAATTGGAAGGGGGTTAGGAAGATGAAAGGATTGGGGAGGGTATGCGGTAGATGAAAGGAGTTAAAAAAAATCAATGAGAAAGATAAAAATAATGAAAGAATAATTAAGAGAGAGAATATTAGTAAGAGAAAATGGGGAATTTGGAGGGATGAGATTGTGACAGAGAGAAGAGATAAATTGAGAGAGAGAAAGTTTGTATTTAAATGACACAATTGCCATCAAAAGAAAAGTAAAAAGAGTTATAATGAGAGGGTAAAAATGGTATATAGAAGTTTCTTCTCATCCCACCTTTTATATATACTATTAGATTAGATATAGATAAGAATTCTTTGATTCATTCAATATGTTATTCAAAATAAATTATCATAAAAGTTAAAAAGTATTATCATATATATTTTAAAATTAAGACTAAAATAGTAGATAAAGATCGAGTGAGCAATGGTCTCCATAGCTTTAATTCTTGATTTAAATACGTGTACTCCCCACAATGCTTGATTCAATTTGGACTGTCGAAATCATAAATCACTTTAGTTGGAATATTGTGTTGGACGTTATGGAATGACAGAAATTCCAAGGAAAATGGTAGAAATGTTCCAGCAGTTTTACAGAAAGCCTCATGGATTATGGAGTATTTTGAAGAATTCTCTAATCATTCTAGAACTCGGTAAAAATAGTGTACCTCGAACAAATAATTGGCATTCGCCTCCCGATGAGTAACTCATAATCTTGATCGGATCCCATTTTTGGATCGGATGCTCGCTTGAGTTTTTTGGGTTCTGATACCCTATCAATATTCAAGGATTTCATCTCACAGCCAATTCACGATGAGAGAAGTAGCTCATATCTATTATAAACTATTGTTAGATTTCTCTTCTTTTTAACGTGAGATTCTTAACAATTTCGCAATGAAAGAGAGTTTGAGTCGAGCAATAAGACTGGAGATTTGGAAAGTGCTTGTAGAATCTTGACCGGGTGATATTCGGAATCTAAGCTAACTATTTTCAATAGATCACTTTTTGCATGTTAATATAGAGTCAAATAAGGCAGCGCACTGTCTTGCTAAAAGCCACTCAATTTGGGACACCCAATTCTGTGGTTGTCAAGTTTTTTGAGTTGGCTTTCTCATCTTGTTGAGGCCGACTTCACTGCTCATGTAGCCGTAAAGCATCTTAATTTGTTTAATGCAATGTTTCTTTCAAATTAAAAAAAAAAAATGCTTCTAAACGGTTAGATGTTGAAGTTTATATTATTAAGACTGAAATTATGTTTTAATATTAAAGTTCAAAATTTTATTGTATTTTCGAATGAGAGGATAGTGTCAAAAGGAGGAGTGGCATTGTCATAGGTAACAATGAAAAGAAAAGACTGGTAAAATGATTTGATAATATGAGGGGAGAGTGCCACAATGTTGCTGTGTTATCTTAAAAATAAAGTCGATATTGGAGCCTTGATGCTGACACGAAACTACGTCACTTTTTCGTCACTACTTATTGACACGACTTGTCCCAAAATACCAACTAGTTCTAGAACAAGCCGCATCTACCATAGACCCCAACCAACTACATAGAAATAGATAGACTAGAAACGACATCTCTTATCTCAATGACACCACAAGGATATTAAATGAATGGAATTGAGATATGGATGAAATATAATGAAATAGAGCCACTACGAAGAAGTTCCAGGAGTTACGAAGAAAGCTCGAGCTCATATTGGTCATGAGTTGAGAATGGGAATTGAATTCTATGAGATCTAATTTCCTGTCATTCCTCAGTAGCTCAGTGGTAGAGCGATCGACTATTAACCGATTGGTCGTAGGTTCGAATCCTACTTGGGGAGATTTAATTCATTAGAGTCTATAGTTAAGCTTATTTCTAAATTTATAAAACTAATTACATAGATTTTGATTGTTCCCTTATGTAAATGTTTAAAAGGTGCATAATTTAGCCCCCGTTGTGTCCACAAACTTCTTGAGCTTCCGTTAACACTTACATAGTCATAAAAATCTTCAAAGGATACTTATAAAGTGACGAAGAATTGAAATGTTTAAAAGGTGCTATGCCCTTCTCTGTTCCATCCACAAACTTCGAATCACTCATTTCAGGAAACCCCATTGGAATGGCAGTCTCCGTTCCCTTCGTCTTCTTCTTTTCATTTTGGACCGTAGATTCATCAAATGAAGACAAACAAATTTCCATCGCTGTTCTCTCTATCTTCGTCTTGATTTTTGCCCTATTCTGGTTCCGACGCTCCGGCGAACCCAAACTCCGGCTTCCCCCTTCGCCTCCGAGCCCCCGTGGCCTGCCGCTGCTCGGATACCTTCCATTTTTATCCCTCAATCTCCACCGTACCTTCGCCGATCTGGCTGGAATCTACAGCCCAGTTTTCAAGCTCCGCCTCGGAACCAAGCTCTGCGTCGTCCTCACCTCCCCTTCCGCCGTCAATGAGGCCCTCCACCGGCAAGATACCGTATTCGCCAACAGAGATCCCACCGTTTGCGCTCTTCTCGCTTCCTACGGCGGCTCCGACATTGTCATCACCTCCGACGGCGCCGATTGGAAGAAGCTGAGGAAAATCTTCGCCCGGAAAATGCTTAGCAAATCGAATCTCGAAGCGTCCTATTGCGTGCGGAGGCGGGAGGTGAGGGAGGCGATTAAAGGCGTTTTTGAATCGGCCGGAACCCCAATAGACGTCGGCGAAGTGGGTTTCTTGGCGACTCTGAAATCGGTCATGGCGATGATATTTGGCGGCGCGGGGCGGCGGATCGGCGGCGATTTGGAAGGTGATTTAAGGGAAAAAATGGGTGAATTGATGGTGTTGTTAGGGACTCCAAATGTGTCTGATATTTTTCCGGCGTTGGGTGGGTTTGATTTGCAGGGGATTGGGAGGAGGACGAAGGAGGTGATGCTTATGATTGATGAGATTCTGGATTTGGCCATTGAAGAACAGAAGGTGGGGGAAAATGGAGGAGGGTTTTTGCAGTGGCTGTTGGAGCTCAATGACACTCAAGATTGTTCGGACTCTATTACTACTAACCAACTCAAAGCCTTGCTAGTGGTATGAATATTTTCTTAATACTTAAATTACAAATTTCGTCGTTGGCTGGTTTGGTTCAAGAATTTTACAAGTTTAGGAAAAGGCAAATGATTGGAAAAAGAACTTAGGAGCTGTTTTGGATATATTTCTTTTTTGTTAATACAATTGCCACTATTGCACCTTTTTTACTGGTCAAAAAAGACAGTTTCTTTGATGAAACCTAGAACTACTTATTTTTAAAAGAAAAAATATATATATTGTTAAAACAAGGGGACCTGCATCTTCACAAGTATGACATATCAACGAAGATAATTGTCTTTCCTTATTTAGCATGAATCATTCTACGTGACACTTTGTTTCCACCCCTTACAAACTCAACAATATATTTTACTTGTCAAAATTTTAATGACACTAGCAAAACTAAATAATAATAATAAACAAAATCGGAAGGTTCAACCCACACAAAGAAAAGCAAAATTCAATATATCTAGAGCTCAAAACATGTTACGCCAAATATATATATGTATATATATATATATTTGGTTTGATATATTTGATATATTACTCCTTACTTCCATCTACTGTATTCAGTTTTTGCATTAGTTTTTGTTATTGAATTGTGTTGTGTTTATATGAGACACGTGTCTTTAATATTTGTCTTTTTATATTTGTTATAAAGACTATATAGCACAGCAATGATATATGACTTGATATTTTAGAAGTAAATATGACAAATATTTTAGCTGCTCATTTCTATATATGACCCAAATATTGTTGTTTTGGTAATAGGACATTGTCGTGGGTGGAACGGACACAACATCGACTACAATTGAGTGGGCGATGGCGGAGCTAATGCAACATCGAAACATAATGGAAAAAGTAACCGAAGAATTAACCCAAGTTGTGGGCTTAAACCAAATGGTAGAAGAATTTCACTTGTCCAAATTGTGCTTTTTAAACGCAGTAATTAAGGAGACACTTCGTTTACACCCACCGTTGCCTCTTTTGGTGCCTCGTATCGCTGCCCAAACAAGCACCCTTGGAGGCTACTCCATCCCAAAGGGTTCAGCCATCTATTTCAACATCTGGGCCATCCAAAGAGACCCTAAAGTTTGGGACAACCCCTTAAAATTTATGCCCCGAAGGTTCTTAAATGAACCTGAAGGATATGATTTCACAGGCAATTGCATGGAGTTCTGCCCATTTGGGTCTGGGAGAAGGTCGTGTGTGGGGATCCCTCTGGCCGAGAGGATGCTGGTTTTCATATTGGCGTCGCTGTTGCATTCTTTTGAGTGGGAATTGCCCAAGGATTCTTCGGTGCTTGATTTGGAGGACAAGTTTGGGATTGTCACCAAGAAGTTGAAGCCATTGGTTGCTGTTCCTGTCCCAAGGCTGTCCAATTTGGAGCTTTTTCAATCTTAGATGTGGTTTCGATTTAGATAGTTGACATCTTCAAAGGTTGGAAATATGTTAGATATTTTTGAAATTGTAATTGTTCCAGCAATGTCTTTATCAATATTTATATGTAAAGCATATTTTTAAAATATCACTTAGAATTCACGTCACAATTTGTTTTTATTATTTTGATCAACGCAGCAATCATTTACTTTTTAATAAAATGAAAATGAGAAATAAAGAAAATATCTGTAGAATAAAAATGAAGGACAAAATTATCAAAACAATACCATCCATATCTTAAAAATCCATGTTGCAAGGAGACCTTTAGAATTCCTTTCGCATCTAAAATGTTCAAGTAAACAACATTCTTGTGTAAAAAAACATAAGAATTTGGATGTCCTTTTCGTAGAAATTCCACAAAAACAATTGACTCTTACAAATTTGGCTACTAATAACTCAGTAAATAATAGATTGTCACAAAGAAAGTTTGTGCTGTTACTGAGTAATGATACTTGAATTAGAGAAATTCAGTAAGGTTTGTTATTTATGTTCTCAATAATAAGACATTTAATCAACTTATTCCATTAAGTTTTTTAGATTTCTTATTGAATTAAGGCTTTTATATCCACTTATTGAATAATTACTTTAAATTAAATATGTAAAATTATATTTTGTTTTTTTTATAAACTAAATTTTATGTAAACTAATTTTTTAAAATTTTTTTTTTGTATTACAATTTTATGTAAACTTATTGGTCTCTCTCTCTCTCTCTCTCTCTCTCTCTCTCTCTCTCTCTCTCTCTCGGCAAATAACTTATTGGATTTTTGTTTCTAATGAAAATATATTTTAAATTTATATTCCTTAATTTTTAGTTAAAAAATAGTGTATATGAGTAAAATTTTTAAATGGGCTTTTTGATTGGATTTGTTGGGGCAGACCAAATATGACTTAAATGGGCTGGTCCGAATGGTTCATATCAAATACAAAGGATTTATGAGTCCAATCTGGTCATTCAGTGAAACTTTGACTTTTCGTGTAAAATTATTAAATTAGATGTTTTAACAGATAAGTTGGTTTTTATTTATTAACTACTATGAAATTCACAGATTTCCGCATCTCAAGGTAAAAAGTCGGTAAAGTCTTACATGATTTAATTTCTTACTAAATTTAAAAAATATTATAACTAATTAAGTTGTCCAAACTATAGATACTTACATGATTAGACAAATCAGTAAATTAATTTCTAATTTTTTATGAAAGTAATAAGCAAAAAAATGAATAGTATTATATTTAAAAAATTCAATTCTAATAAGTTTCTTTTTAGTAAAATGGCGATTTAAACTCACAACTTTGATTATGAATAGATGTTTTAATCCGTTGACTATGAGTTGACGTAATCTTAAAAAAATTAAGTTATCTAAATTTAAGATTTTTGACTTTCATCCAAAACCTCCATAACCAAGCAAGCCTAAAATTTTATTTTTTTTAATTCAAATTTGAGGTGTTTTAGACAAAATTATTTTGTATAATATATTTCTTCAAGTTTTATTTATTTATTCATCATTATATTATTATTTTATTTTTAGTTGAACAACCAAGAGAATTCATATCTATGACCTTTCTTGATCAATACAATGAGATTGACAAATTAAATCTTATTTGGAGATAAGATTACTTGCTCCAAAGTTTAATATTTGGATTGGGTGAAAACTACTCACCTCTAACAATTTTGTTTTGAGTTTTTCTATTTTTAGAAATTATTTTTGCTTCTCCACAATTTCTATAATATGTTTTTCAAAATTTTTAAAAACACATTTAATCTTTTAGTCAAAATTTAAAAAAGAAAACAAGTTTCTAAAATACTAAAGTCTTGATAATTATTTTGATTTTTTTTTATTTTTTAAATTAAACTTGTAAAACACTGTCTCGCTTATGCATTTTTTTATCTTGTTATTTACTTTTCAAAAATCCTATCAAAATCTAAGTCAAGTTTTTTAAACTAAAAAATTAGTTTTAAAAAATTTATTTTTGTTTTTTGAATTTGTCTAGCCTTTTTTTTCCCTTTAAAATAAGAACATATCAAATAAATTATGTGAAAGTAAAAATAATTGTAAAAAATAGAAAACTAAAACTTTATAGATTTCAAATTTAAGCTTGGATTTTAAAAACATTAATGAAAGTAGATGACAAAAGAAAAGAACAATGTAACACCTAATAAACACGAACCAAATATAACATAGTTACGTCTAAAAATTTAAAACCTCTCCCATATAAAGTTAAACACTGTGATCAATATTATTAGACTTTAGGTTTTGATGTTACCAAATTTGTAATATTACCCATCAATCCAATCCTTCCCTCCACCAAGAATGCCACCAACATTATCATAAAGATTGAGTCAGATGTTGCTATTGGAGGGCTAATTTATTATTATTATTATTTATTTTTAGTACATGGAAGAGTTGATGAAGATTTGAATTCACATTTTATTTGATGGAGAATATATACATTATTGAGGTTGCAAGTTATACTAACAAAATCTCATATTGGTTAGGGAAAGAAGTGATTCATGATATATAAGAAATGATAATTATCTTCGTTATCAGATTTTGTTTGATCCAAAGCTAAGCTAATCTAATATGAGCTTCACTAATCAACTTGGTATAGGCTGATCAGTTTGAAATTTGGCATAGAATTCGGATGGCGGAGCTTCACTAATCAACTTGGTTTCCTCATTAGTAATCTCTTTTGCACGACAACTTGGATCTCCTACCCTTCATCTTTCATCCATTTTTTATATCTTATTATTATGCATGATTTTAAACTCTACATTTTCACAATAATATCATAAACAATTAATATTAGTAAAAAAAAAAGGAGAATTAAGAGAAACATATATGTTTATACAGGTTCAACTTTTTAAGTTATGCATGTATTATGTAGAAAGTTTCAACTATTTTAGTGAAAATTAAAGGTAAAAAATAATAGATTCACTATTTTCTCTCTAATCTAGAGATTTGAAACTCTCATGGATTACTCAAGACTATCTAGTCCAATTGTCTTGAATCTCTTTGAGGAGAATTCTTTTAAATTTTGTCACTTTATGGCATTTTTGGATTCTCTTTAGAATTAAGATCAAACAAGATCAAAAAGTATATATAAACCGAACTTATTGAACGATTGACTTCACAACTCAATAATTTATAGAAAAATAGGAAGGGAAAATAACAAGATTAAAAAGTATACACAATAGTTTGATTTGAAAACATAAGTTCCAAACTTGATGGAGTTTTTTTTAGTACAACATGTCGGGCGGGACGAGAGATTAAACTCATAATTTCTTAATTAGAGACATATGTGAATTATCATTGAATTATGTTCGTTTTGACTATATTTCGTGAGTTTTAAAAACTTGGGTTAACAATATTATTAAATAAAGAGATAAGACTTCGTAATTTGCCTAACTTGGAAGGAGCCACGATTTAGAGCCCTCCATGCAACAAACATCATTCATCAAAACAGTATTTAAAAATCTTCTTTATGTGAAAAAAAGAAAAATATATATATATATATATATTTACGAATCTTCCAATTGTACCCTCATCTGTCACATCACTCTCGCTATCTTTCACAAAACTTTTGTAAAATTTTATTATTCTTATTCTTATTATTGTTTTATGATGTCTGACTAGATAAATTAATGATGACAAAATTCTTGTCTGATTAGATAGGTTAAAATATTAATTTAATCTTACTGTTTGGACTTGATTTGGATTGCTTCTTATCATTTTAAAAGATTCAGTTTTGTTCCGTTCCTATGATTTAGTTAAACTCCTTATAACTAGGTGTGGTAGTTTTTCTAATTAATTTAGGTAATTGTATAAGGTACCTGTATTAAGATTTAAATTTGAGTAAAAAATAGAGAAAAATCATGAATAGATATGGTCTGGTAGATGAAAAGGGATTTGTGGGATTTAACCAAATCTGGAGCGTCTGCCCCATTACTCTGTTCTTACTTGTGAAATTCTTTAAAACAAACACTCCAAAATATTCATAGAGAAAAAACAAAGAAAATATATATACTTAAACAGTATTTTTCTTAAATGATTACAGAACAATCTCTCTCAAACACGCATCTCATATTAGTCATCTCCCAAAACAAACTTCCAAATGATCACATCTTTCAGCTTTACAATACAAATCACATCATCAACACCACTTAGACACAGGATTCTGTGGTCAAGCCGAGGCAGCAGCCTTACAAACAGGAAGGTCTTCAATGGTGTTTGGAGGAAATCTAAGAATGGGATTGCTTTCAAAAAAATTTGCTGGCTTCAAATCGAAACTCGCCGATACGGTCGGCATGATCGGGAAGTCCTCTTGACATGGTATGTGATGGAACCCTAACGTGTACCATACTACTATGTCTTTGTTCTCGATCGACCTATCACTGCAACAATGCATTTATTTGTCACATAAATTGTTCGAGGGAGAGCGAAAGAGGGGACGATTTTTCTTTACTTAAAAAAAATAGCTACAAATATATTTGCTTTTAACATTTTTTAATTATATATTTTCTATTTGTAGATGCTACTCGGTGAGTGGAGATAAATTTGAAGAAGAAATAAACCCCTTGTAGCTGAGAAAAAGTAAAAGCTTCTACACTTTTCTTTTAGATTCTTTTTTAGTATAAAACATGGGTAGAGTAAAAGCTTCTATCAATTCCTTAAAACTTTTCTTTTAGATTCTTTTTTAATACAATACATTAGGGTAGAGGATTTAACTCACAACTACTTGTTGGAAATATATGTAAATTATCGTAGAGTTATGCTCGCTTTAACCCTTTAGATTCTTTTTTGAATGATATCTAATATCCACCCAAACGAACATGACTTAGTATCATAATAATTGATATACATGACGAACACAGAGATTGTGAGTTCAATCCTCCACTTCACTTTTACTCTTATTAAAATTGACTTCTAATGCCACATATGGAAGAATGATATAATTTTTAAAAAATAATGGAAGAATGATATAATTTTTTTTAAAAAAAGTGAAAACATAAAAGGCAAAATTGAAAAGTTAGACTAAAACATACCTACAGCCTTAAAAATTTATACACACAAATTAAATTTTAAAAAATATCTCTCTTAAATTTTTAGGATGGAAAAATTAAATATAAAAACAATAAAAATGTAAAATTTAATTCGAAAAAGGGTAAAAATTAAGACGCTTACCGGTCGGACCAAGTTTGAAGAGTGTCGTCGCCGCGGCTCTGGTAAACGAAGCGGCCGCCGGCCCACTCCTGGGTCCGGTTGTACGGGGTCACCCATATCTGATTATTGGTAAACGCTCCCCTCCTCTGCGGAGGATCGTCCAGATCCATCAAGCTGGCGGCGTTGGCGGCCGGAACCACCTTGTACCCGACCGGATTCCCGACCCGAGTCTTGACGGAAGGATTGACGACGTGAAACTCGGACGGGTCGTAGAGTTTGAGCTTGATTTGGGCCTCTTTCTCGGTCTTGGCCACCTTCTTCACCGCTCTCAGGTAACTTTTTCTGGGCGATTCTCCTTCCCAAGTGCGCTGCCTTTCCAGATTCACCTTCACGAACGAATTCTCCGACCCGTCGATGTCCATGTCCAGATAGAACGTTACGTAGTGGTCGTGGATTACTCCGATCACGTTTTCCGACAGCAGTGTGCCGTGGACATCTTTTCCGGCAAACTCATTCGCGTTCTCGTAACTCGTGCCTTTCACCATCAGTATCCCGCTTAGACCCACCTGTACTAATCCCAAATTTCCAAATTTTAAAAGGACTTATTTGTAATTTTAATATTTAATTTTAGACAATTGAAAACCTTGATTCTGATAAGTCCGTCTGTTTGAAATTCCCAGTCGACAATGTAGTCGTAATTGGCCACAGATGCCGCCATCCTCGCCACAAGCGTCACCTTCGGCCTCACCTCCCTGATCTGCCCCCACACAAATTTAAAATTTCTTTTAATTTTTTAAATGAATAACAGATATTTTCTACCGCAGCATACACCAAACAAATATTTCCAAATGCAATGCAACATTGTTGTGTGGTCCTGTGGGGAAGCCAAGAAAGTAGCTGCGTCTCTTACTTTGCTCTTCTTCTATTTTTTGTCCTTATATTTTCAACTTTTCTACCTTCTTTATTCTAAAAACGGATCCTTTTCATCCATATTTGAACATTTTCAGTACAGATTCCATACCCAACTAATTCTTTTTAATATAAAATTATGACATCATTGTCATTTTTAAAAACAAGACAAAAATGAATAACATGTCGAAGGGAAAAATACTCGACTCTGGGCTTATCACCATTGAAAAATTGATGAATTTTTATAAAAAATCTTTCTTTTTTCCTCTCTCTTTTGATTATCAAGAAAGTCAAATACTCTCCTTTTGAAAATATAAATATCAAAAGATTTTAAAAATAATAATCAATTTTAAAATTTTGAAAGGAAAAAAAATAAAGGAAAAGGAAAAACTAGCATCACTTACATCCAATCCCGTAATCGGACTCTCTGAATGGCGCCACCCAATGTCGCCGGCGTAGCTCTCGAAGAGGCAAATCATATTGGGTCGGACATACGGCTGCCCGTCGACCGCCGCAAAGACGCCGTCCATATAATACGCGTTTCTCGGGCAATCATTAAGCGGGTCAAGACTCATGGCCTGCAACCCAAACCCGTATTCCCCCGCGTCCATATACGTCTTGAAATACCAAGCTTCCGATGGATCCATATAAGGCACAAACAACTCCGAAGTAAACCCCTTGTAAATAACATCCCTCAGCACCCCCGTATCCGGGTCCCGAACTCTGGCCCGAGACACCACGATCCCGGATCTCGGGTCGGGTTTCAAGTGAAACTCCCAATTTGCCCACTTGACCAAGTAATCGTCCTCCACCGTGAAACTCGGCCCCTTCGGCTGCTCAATCGAAATCGGATTCAGCAGCCTAATCACTTTATTCGGCGGCTGCGCCGAGTATCGGTAATCGGTGTTCGCCGCTTTAGGAATCGGAATATTCCTCCCTTTGTCGGAAATTTCAACCACTTCTTTACGGTCCAAGTCAACCAAAACGGTCAACCCTTCGATTGGCCTCATGTAGAAGTTGGCGGTGTCCTTCATGGAGTAGCACTGCACCTTAATCAGCCTCCGGTTCTCCTCGGCCGGGCCGAACCATCCGGTCGAAATCGGCAGGCACGACAGGTCCGACAGTGCGATCCCGCGGTCGAGGATCGTACGGTTGAAACGCTCGCTCTTGAGTGGGACCCACGTGGCCGAGTTCATCTCCTCGATCGTCATGGTGGGGAAGCCCGCATGTGGGCCCGCTGGGTGGACCGCCACGTCGGCGGTGGTAAGGTCGACGGTCAGCACGTGGGTGTGGGCGTCGACACGTGCGATTACGGAGGCCCTTCTGGGGGGGAGGCGGTGGCCTTTTTGCCAGGCGAGGACGAGGGATTTTTGGGGCTCTTCGAGGACGAGGGAGTGGACGGAGTAGGGGCAGGATTGGAAGAGAAAATGGGAGGAGATGATGGAACGGACTCGGTTGATTTCTTGGACGGTGAGGGGGTCGAGAGGGTGGTGGGGGGTGTCGGAGGAGTGGTCGCGGCGGCTCGTGGGATTCAGGCCGAAGAGATTGGAGGGAAGGCGGTGGTCGGGCGAGGAAATTGGGAGATGGAGGAAGGTGAAAAACAGAGCAAAGGCTGTGGCTAAGGAGAGAAAGGAGTAGAGAAGGAAGTTTGTGGGAGCCGTGGCCATGGCGTCTTGCAGAGAGAAGTAGTAAGGAGTAAGGAGGTGAGGCGTATTTATGTTGCAAGAACTGGAACTGGGTGGAGATGTGGGGCTCGTCTCACTATGCCAGAAGCTGCTTCTAAATTGTCATCGTGTGTGTTTGGATTTCGGTGGAACTTTTAAAATATTTATTTTAGATTCTTTTATAAATTCAACACTTCTACTCTTTGAATAAACTACTACCGAGTTTTCTCTCAAAAAAATCAAACATCATTTGTCTATTCTCGAGGACGAGAGCTTTGCTCTTATTCAAGACTTTCTTCGTGCTTTAATGGAGTACACCCACACATTACACTATTACTACATCTTTCGAAGTCTATCACTTTTTTGTTCAGTATCCGAATATTTCATAGTTAGGTTTAAATTAGGACTCTGTACCACTTGTTAATCTCGACTATTCTACGTATTTCTACGATGATTTGATAATTGTCACGATTTTACTAAAAATTTAAAACAAGGTAGATAATTGTCTTTTTCGCTGCTGATATAATAGAGTCTCCCTACCCACTATTGTTCTTTCTTATTTTTGGGCCCTGTCCCTTTTTCCTCTGAAAAAATGTAAATACTGTTTTGGCGTAATTGGTTGGATTTTGTTCATTATGTTCCAAACTGTCCATTTTGATTTTTGACCATTTTATTTATTTATTTATTTTCTCTTTTTTGTCGGTAATAATTTTAATACAATATTATATTCAATAAATTTTTTGAAACGTAGCTTAATATCTTAGTATTAAAAGATTTTATTGTGTACAGAAATTTGTTTTAGAAAATTTTAATTCCCGATTGAAATAGTTTGTTCAATAATAAAAATAGATATTTTGAGAGTATATTAGTAGAATAAACGAGAGTTGAAATAATAATAGTAACTAAAATAAACAAAAAGAAATTTTAATTTTAATTTTATATTAATCGATTAAAAGTCAAAAGTCTAATCCTCAATCGCATGTATTTAAACGAAAAGAAACTTCTTCCATGGTTGATATTCTAAAAAAAAAATCCTGTTTCCATTTGGTAATTAATGAATTCTAGTATAATTAATGGATTTGGAACCTTCTCATTTACTAACAATCCAATCATATTTGAAATTCAAAATCGATATTTTTCTTGAGTCATCATTCCATGATTTTAGTTAATGTTAATACATATTCGAAGTAATATAACCCATCTACAAATAATTGTTTTTAAGCTTTTCAAAGAAAGAAAAAAAAATTGTTTTTAAGAAATAAAACTTTAAAGACTAAAGTTTAAATTTCAAATTTTGTTGACCAAAATAGAAGGTAATCATTAAATTATGCTTTTAGTCATTATGTTACAAAAACAACCGTTGGAGTAAAATTTAAATATTATTTTAGTCCTTAAATTTTTAAGATATATAATTATTTTGATCATTATTATAATTAATATTCATTAATTTAAATAATTAACATTAAAGTAATGATGAAGACATATTTTTCAAAAGCTATATAAATTAAAGACTAAGAAATTTATGGACCAAGATAAAATAATGAAAGTCTACTAATATCATGATTGGAATATGATGAAATTTAAATCTTTTAGTTATCACGTGAAATGTATTTATATATATATTTTTTTATTGATGTAGGATCCTCACAGGTCAAATGAGTAGAAAAACTAAATTTTAGTTTATTAAAATTAATCTTATTGTTATTATAATTTTTAGTACAAAATTAATCTTATTTTGTAGTATAATCAATCAATATTTTTATTTATTTTCTTCGCATTATATAATTAATTTATTATTAAAAAGAAAACTAAAATTGATTTGTCATATTAAATTTTATAGTATTCTCTTTATCATCAAAACCTAGGTAAATTAACATGGCGAAGGATCCAAATCTCTACGTTCAAATTGTTAAGGATCTCATATTGAAAATAAAATGAAATTTACAAAAATTTATAACAGACACATATTACTCCTGTCATGATCAATTGTTTTTAGATAGAACACAATAAATATTGATATGGTCCCGTAAACTAAAAAAATTAAAAGGCACATTGAGATTCCCATTGATTAAAGCAATGTAACTACAACTTGTCATTTTGGGAAAAGAGCTACTAAATAACAACTTGTCATTTTGGAAAAAGAGCTACTAAATTATATATTTATAACATGTTATGGTGATAAACCTAACCCTAGCTATTTATTTAAATTGAAGAATTTGTTTTTGAAATTAATAATTTGTTGTTGAGCTCAGAATTTGGATAAGGCTAGCAAACGAGCAGGTCCGCTTCCAAGATGGGGGCTGTTTGGAGAATGGGATTTCTGTCGAAGAAATTGGCGGGCTTTAGATCAAAGCTGGAGGACACGATTGGCATTACCGGAAAATCTTCTTGGCATGGCACGTGATGAAACCCCATCGTGTACCACACCACTATATCTGTATTCTCGATCCGACGGTTCCTATTAAATACACAAATTTTAAATGGCACACAAGCAATTTATTATTTTTATTTCTTTAAAATGTTTGTAAATTACCTTTGAGACCAAACCGCGAGTGTGTCATCTCCCTTGCTTTGGTACGCCAAAAGCCCACCAGCCCATTGCTCAGTTTTGTTGTACGGCGTCACCCAAATCTTTCCAGAATTTTCATAAAGATTATTCACAAAGTTTAAACACCCTTTTCATCTTTAAATCTCGACCTTTGTTATATTTTGGTTTTAAATATTTATTTCAGTTCCTTTTAACTTTTGAAAAGTTACTGTTGACAATAATAATGACCAAAATGAGTTGTTAGATGGTTGTGTACTGTAGGTACCTGGTAGTTAGTGAAAGCATTTCTGATTTGTGGAGGATCATGAAGATGAAGCAAGCTAACCGCAGTGGCCGTGGGGACAAGCTTGTAGCTTGATGGGTTTCCCAATCTCGACATCTTGTTGAAATTCACCACATGAAACTCAGAAGGATCATATAGACGACTAAGCTTAATCTTAGCATCATCTTCATTTTTTGCCACTTTTCTGTACGGTTTGTAGAGGCTTTTCCTCGGTGATTTTGAAGTAGAAATTTCTTCTTTAACAAGATTAACTTTTACAAATGAATTGTTTATACCATCTACATCCATGTCGATGTAAAATGTGATGAAGTGGTCATGAACCACTCCAATTGTATTCTCTGAAACCAAAGGTTCAATTATTTCATTGTCTTTGTTCTGAATAGTTTCGTTGAGACTCCCTTTCACCATTAGCATTCCTGAAAGACCAACCTAAACAGGGATTTTATTTTTTAGTTTCTGCATTTGAGATTTAGCTATCAAGAAAAAAAATCCTCAAGTTTAAAGTAAAAATTGAATTATAATTCCCAAAACAAGATTAGAGACTAACCTTCACTCGGATTAAACCATCTGTTTGAAACTCCCAATCGAAGACGTAATCGTAATTTCCCAACGTCGATACCATGCGAGCCACAAGCGTCACTTTTGGCCTTGCTTCTCTAACCTGACAATAATACAAATTCATAGCATTTTTTACTTCTGCTCCATTTTGAACCATCCTACATGTGTATTTTCTTTTAAGAATAATACTTACCTTCTCATTTTACTACTCATATTTTTAATGAGTAATAGATAGATAAAAGATATTAAATAAACAATTATTAAAATATCAATAATACTTTTGATGGAATGACCTTTAAAAGAATAGAAACTGAAAAAGTGTTAATAAAGTTTTGTACCTGTTAAAAAAGTGAGTGATTTATGATATATAAGATAGAACAATTACGTGAAAATCTTTAGGGTGAAAAAAAAAAACAAATCGGTAACAACTACCTAACATAAACTCATGAACTTACATGTACACCAGCGAAACCCGGATCAGAGTGGCGCCAGCTGATATCTCCGGCATATCTTTCAAACACACATATCAAATTTTCCCGAACGTAAGGGTTCCCATCTGCGCCCACAAACACGGCGTCCATATAATAAGAGTGCCTGGGACAGTCGTTGAGCGGCACCAACGGCAGCGACAGCGCCCCCATCCCAAACTCCCCAGCATCCATATATGTTTTGAAATACCAACCCTCCTCCATGTCCATATACGGCACAAACAGCTCCGACGAAAACCCTCTGTACATCACATTTCTAGTCTCCCCTGTCTCCGGATCTCGCACCATGGCTCGCGAAATCACCAGCCCTGCTCGCTGATCCGCCTTGATGTGCAGCTCCCAGTTTGCCCATTTGAACACGTGTTCGTTTTCCACGGTAAAGCTCGGTCCTTGTGGCTGCTCCATCGATATGGGGTTCAGTTCCAGTGGCTTCATTTTCTGGTCTTCTTTGTATTGGTACTCTGTGTTTGTGCTTCTCGGGATTGGGATTCCTGTACCGGTATCAGAGATTTTGGTTACCTCTTTTTTGTCGAGGTCCACTGTGACTGTGAGCCCCTCGATTGGCCTCATGTAGAAATTCGACGTGCCTTCCACAGAGAAGCATTGCAATTTCGCAATCCTTCTCCCTTCTTCCTCTGCCCCAAACCAGCCCGCGGGCAGTGTCGTGCATTTCGCGTCCGTCACCGCAACGCCATGTGCGACTATGGTCCGCTGGACCTCAGGATTGGCGATTGTGAGTTGCTCCGAACCTGAAATGTCCTCATCTGCACTTCCAGCATTCATTAATTATAACTTGTTTGGGTGCATTTACTTGATCATTTGGAAAACATAAACGTGAAAAGAAGCCTTCAATGAAAAATATAATTTATTTTTTCACACATTTAAAAATGGAATCTCAAGTTAAATACTAAAATAATGTTAATTTATTTTTATTCACATTTTTGTTATAAAGTTTTATAATTATTATTTTAGTATAATTTATAATATATTATATTACTTGTATTATTTTTTTTAAAAAATAAAATAGATTTAAAACTGAAATAATATATTTATCAAAACTTTAATTTTTTTTTTATAGTGCCACTTAATTGTATTGGACAGACTTTCATTAATTACTATGTTGTTTTATATTTTACCACGTCAATTTTTCACTTATTAACGACATTACTAATATTTTTTTTGGAAGTCTATAAAAAGGTTAAGAATAGTACTATAAATGTAACTCTAAAAGTATTTTTTTTAATAAATTAACTTAATATTTAAACAGAAAAATAAGTTATATTCAACAAACTAATATCAACCTGTAAAATATATTAATATTTATCTAAAACATTCGAAATTATCCCAAATTTAAGCCCCAACATATCAAGTCTGTAAATTAAGAGATTTAGTGGTGACCTGATAGCATGGGATAGCCAGATTTTGGATCGAGTGCGTCATGGGTGATGACCCGACCCGACTCCAAGTCGACGGAAATGACATGGACTTGGGCGTTGAGGATGGCAATAACGGCAGCCCGTCGGGGCGGAAGAGGGGCGGCGGGCGTCCAGGCCAAGACGGAGGACTTGTCGGGGTCGTCGAGCGCGAGAGAGTGGATTGAAGGGAAAGAAAGTGAGAAGGGGTGGTAGGTGGAGAGGATCTGTCGGACCCTGTGGATTTCTTGGACTGTGAGGGGATCCAGTGGGTGGTGAGGACCTGATTTGTGCTGTGTTTGTTGAAGCGAAAAGCTTCGCTTCACACAATAGTTGTTATTGTTGTTGCTGTTGGAGTGTGAGGAATTGAAACATGAGTTTTCTGGGAAATGAAACCAGAATCGAGAGATGGGGAAGATGGCAACCATGGAAATCAGAAAGAAGCAAAGGTATGAAGAATGTCTTGCCATTTGCTTTCCGGAGCTTACAAATCACTGTCCAAAACTTCAAAACTTTTCATATTTAACCAATAAATAATATTGGGTGTCACTTCTTCTGCTTTGTGAATACCAATCGCCCACCAAGTATTAAATTTTACGTGCTTTACAAGCTACTCACGTGTAGGAATTTATTCGGTGCCCGTCGTTAAATATTTCACAATCAAGAGGGATAAATACTAAAGTATAAACTTTCCACTGTCAATTTTTTAATAGATATCAGCTACTCCTCTTATTATCAATTGGATGTGAGATGAAATATATGAATATTAATAGTCACATAGAAATAAGTCATCACCCAAGTATTTTCCTTAAAATTTTCATAATTAGGGGAGAGAAATGTAAAAAAAAAATGTTTTCTAATTTTCAAAAGAATAATGAGCGATCAAATTTAATTGTATATATATTGTATAAAAAAATAATAACAAATATATATATCATTTAATAATAATTACAAAAACTTAAATTTAAACATATGGAATAATATAAGAATAAATAGTAATGAATGTCAAAAAATTAATCAGAATTAAATTGATTTCAATAAACAAAGATATCATTTAATAGTAATAATAATGTAATAATATAAAAGTAAATAGTAATGAATGTTAATAAATTAATCAGAATTGGATATTGTCAAAAAAAAATTCAGAATTGGATTAATTTCAATAAATGAATATATCATTTAATAATAATAACAAAAACTCATATGTAATAATATAAAAATAAATAGTAATGAATATCAATAAATTAATTAGAATTATCCAAACGACTCTAACTCAGCAATTAAGATATATTTTCAATCAAAATGTTGACAAAACACCTTAAACAATTTTTTAAATTAAAATTAGATTTTAAAATCTACTACTAAATACATTGAAATACAATTCTATTTATTTATTTTTATTAAATTACTTATTTTCAGATTTGTATTTTCAAATCCAATTTTCACAGGGGAAAAAGCGAAGTGGCAACGCAACGGCGGTTAAAGGTTTGGGTTTTGGTTGGAAGTGTAACTGCACAATGATAGGATTGGAAGAGTGGGCCCAGCCACGTGGTTTTGGTTAGACAATTCTTATTTCTTCCTTACCAATAAAATAAAATTAAAATCCAAGAAATCGTGGAGAGAAGAACGAGGAAGAAGAAGAAGAAGGAAGAGAGGTTTTAGAGATCTCAGATCAAATTAACATGATCGCGTAATATGGGCTTGAAAGGCGTCTCCTCGGCGCCCGGCGATTTCGTCTACTTCAAGTCTCAGGTCCCCCTTCACCGGATTCCCGTATGTTTCTCTCCCTCCGATTTCTCCTTTTCGTAGGGTTTCAATTTTCCTTGCATTCGATTTCATTTCTATCACCGACCTAGGTTTCCGGATGTTTACATGATTTACGCGTTCCCAGTTGCTTTACTTTTTCGACTCGGCATTTTTTGATTGAACTCTACTCTCCTCATCCTCTACGCACTACTTTGAATGCTCTGGCTTTTGTTGAGATGCTTCCTTTTACTCTCGCAGATTGGCACAAAGCAATGGCGGTACTATGATTTTGGCCCTAAAGTTGTACCTCCTCTTATCTGTCTTCCTGGAATAGCGGGGACGGCAGATGTCTACTACAAACAAATTATGTCTTTGTCAATGAAGGTACCGCTGCTTCATGTTGTTATTTTTCCACGTTCTGTTTTTGCATAAGTTCGGGAATCTGCTTCATGTCTATTTCAATGTTTTTTGCTTCTCTATTAAGACCAGAGAACACTTGTTGTGCGGGATGTTTGTTCCATGGTATCCTGCCGGCTGTACTATCTGCTTGAGCTAGAAGTGTTGCTCAAGCCTCCATGCAATTGGTCCTTATTTTTTCCCTCCCTTTTAGAATTTAGATAGAAGAATATAGTAACAACCATCTCATAATTTATTTTCCGCTCTTGATCTTTTGTTATCCTGGTGGGTTAGCGTTGCTGGGCGAGATAACTGTTTCTTTGTAAGTTGTAATGAAAGACCTTCCAATTTTTTAAGAGATCATTGAGACTATAACTTTTAAATGGGGATAAAAACATTTACACCAACCAAAAGCTATAACCAAAACGTTATCAAAGAAACTAATGAAGGAGAGAGAAGAGTTTTGAAATATCCTAATGTTTCTTTCAAGTCAAATTTTCCATAGGAAAGCTCTGTTTAGTTGGCCCATAGGATTCTAGTTTCCTTCTTGAAAGGGCGACCCAGCATGAGTGCTTGAAGAAAAAGCTCCAGGTTGTTGTGAATGGGAGTTTGCCAACCAAAAGCACTCCGAATTCTATTCCAAAATTCAGCAGCAAAGTCACAAGTAATAAATAAGTGCCCATGTTTTAGCATCATTTAAACAAAGATGGCAGCAATTTGGAGAGATGCCTAGGAAAGGTTGCTTTCTTTGAACCAGATATTGGGTGTTGATGGATTAGTGGCTGATATCCCAACAGAAGAATTTATTCTTTTTTCAGATGTTTGTCCTTCCATATTCTGTCGTATGGTAAAGTGACTGGAGATTTCTTTATTCAGGTAAAATAATCTTCGACTAGATAACCTTTGTGTCAAAGTAGTCCATACTTCAGATTAACGTGGAATGACTGCTAGATTTGAACTATATTGTTTTTTTTTTTTTTCCTATAATTGTTGCTTGTGGATCCATGGTGTTGTTGGCATTACTTCTAAAGGTTTTCATTCATCTCATTTGGTAAAATATTGTAGAATCATATCTTTTTTAACTTACAGGGTTACCGGGTAATTTCTGTTGATATTCCACGCGTGTGGAATAATCAAGAGTGGATTCAAGCATTTGAGAAGTTCTTGGATACTATAGACGTTCATCACGTAAGAAATTATTTTATGTCAATCTCATAATGTTATGCTATTTTCCTTTGGGCCTTCTTGTCATAAATACATCTTCTTCTTTTTTTCCCTAATTGTTCTGTACATGAACAAGCTCGCGTTTTATTTTGTGTGAACTGGTGCCCTTGTTGAGGTTGTTCTATTAAAGTCGAAGCATGTAAGCTGCAATCTAGATACAAGATCTTGCAGAACATCAACCATTATTTAGGTTTTTTTTATGAATAGCTATAAATCTATTGACATAATGGAAGTATTCCTAGGTACCACTACCATGAAGTTAAAGCAGATTTTGATTTTGGTATGCATGAGAAATAAAATTTTTGTAATACTAATACCATCTTCAGGCCAGCTATGAGTATTGCTAGAATCTGGTTGTAGATAATATAATCTATTGGACTTGATTTATCCTAATAGCCTGTTAAATATTTGCATGAAGGTAACTTCTCCGCTGATTTCATTTGTAATAGAAGCCTACTTAGTGAGAAAGTTATGGTAGATGTCTTCTATGATAATATTAGACTTGTTGAGTTTCTGTTCAACATTTTGGCATAATGGACACTGACTGTTGAGTTTTGAGACTGAGAAGTGACGAATTTATACACTATTGCCACATTTTCACGGTTTATGGTTTTGAAATGATTGGCAAACTAAATACTTCTAAAGCTGAACAGCTGTACTTTCAACAGATACATCTTTATGGCACTTCACTTGGGGGATTTCTAGCGCAACTTTTTGCTCAACATCGTCCAAGGCGTGTTAAATCTTTGATATTATCTAATTCATATCTTGAGACTAAAAGCTTTTCTGCAGAAATGCCATGGGCTCCAATGTATGCTCTCGGTGCCATTACTTTTCTTTTTAAATTATTTTGTTCCCTGGAGAGTAGAGATTTATGAGCTGAAGAATTTTTGTTAGTATATTATTCATGGTTCAGTGGTATATGGATATCTTGATAGTTATGTAAATTGTAAATTATTGATACCCAAACTACCCCAGATCTCTAATGAGAAGTATAAGATAGGAACAACCCCCAGCTGAGGGGAGCTTACATAAAAGCAGTCCAATTGGCATTCATAAACCAATTGTTATAATTATAAAAAAGTATGGAAAGAATGCATCAGTTAGATGCCAAAAATTTTGATGATGTCCTTTATTCCTTCCAAATCTCTAGATGCTTCCCTGAAAATGCTATGGTTCCTTTTTAATCATATTTTCTAAAGAAGAGCTTTTAGGCATTGAACCATTAAAAGTTCAGACACCATCCCACTCCCATTGCGATATTTTACCACTTCCTATCTTTGAAGGCTGAAAAAGCACCGGCCTGATGGAAATGCATAATGATGAATTGTCAGGGTTTTTCCGCTCCCCAATCACATTTTGGTCCTCCATCCCATCTGAAATTGTCCACACTTGTTATTAATTTATATCAGAAAGCCATGGTTCGAGACCTCCATGACCATTTGAAAAGCAATGCTACAATCCTCTTATCCCCTATGCCCTAACCTCCCTTATTGGAACGTAAAAGCTCCTGTGTTTATACGCAGGAGATTCCCTATGACTACTTTTCACTATCAAGCTGCAAGATTTGGTCTGAAAGTAAAGGAATTGGTACATTATACTTTATTAGTACAATGGAAATATTAGTGACTTCAGAATATGTATCTAGTTCCTTCACCTTTCCCACCACCCTCAACTTTTATGAATTCTCTCCATTGTGCATATCTTTATTTATATGTAAACTACATGTTTCTTATACGAGATCTCTCTCTCTCGCTCACATCCAAAGTTTTGTTATTCATTATAAATTTTGCTGTCAATATTAACTCGCAGGATTTTGGTATTTGCTTTATGCAGTGTTGGTTGGGCCCCCTCATTTTTGCTGAAAAGGTATGTCTTAACAGGAATTCGTGATGGCCCACATGAACCTTTCATTGCAGATTCGGTGGACTTTGTTGTTTCTCAGGTACTTGGAAGGTTGAAATTTTTTGAATATCTAGTGTCACGTATTTGATAAGAATGACTTGAAAAGAGTATTTAACTGCTTTTTAGCATTTAGCATTTTTCACATTACCAAGTTAGACCCGCAGAGTTGGTTTCTTGTTTTGAAACAATGCAATCATCTCAATTCAGCAGATCGTGTCTTAAAGCTTTAGCTGTAATAGGCTTTTTTCCTTTTTTTTTTCTTTCCCCCTTCTGTTCTCTGGATTACTATCTGCTTTTGTCTTTAAGCAACCATGTACTCGTTGGAGTTTGTCTCTCTCTCTCTCTCTCTCTCTCTCTCTCTCTCTCTCTCTCTCTCTCTCTCTCTCTCTCTCTCTCTCTCTAACTTAGTTTAGTTGCGCTAATGGATTAGTTCTAGATAGCTCTCTATAATAAGTTAATAATTCCAATTAAAGTATGGAGTGGGTCATTGTTATATTATGTGACTAGCTATTAACTAAAAATATAAAAGTTGCAGTCATAATAATTTTGTTTATCCTTCTCCACTTTAATTTCCAATTGTCCCAAAATCCTGGTCCCTTTTCTATAATAAGTCAACAGAGTAGCAGCTTTATTATGTCTTTATGAATTAAATGTATGTTCATCACTTTTTAACAAGCTTGAGGGGAATGGCCTCATCTTTGTTTCAGTCAAAGCATCATGTTACTTGTGCAATTTTTTTATATAGTTTAATTGATTAGCTCCTTTAGCTCGCCCTGAATTTATCTTTATCAGTTCAGGTGGAAATGCTTTCTAAAGAAGATTTGGCATCAAGGCTTAGCCTAACAGTTGATGATGCCTCAGTTGGACCCCTTCTTCTTCCAGATTCGTCTATTACCATAATGGATGTATGCCATCTAAACTTGTGACATTTCGTGCTTTAATTTCCTTATGTGATTTGATGTCATGATTAGATTCTGAAATCATGTGCTTTACTTCCTACCATTTGTTTAATTCTTCTCTGTTAATGCTGCATGTCTTGAGATTTTTGCTGGTGACATGACTATTGGCAATGAAAATTTTTCATGTAACGTGGTTAAAGAGCTTGTTTTCTGCCTCTCTCTCTCTTTTTTTTTTTTCTGTGACTCGGTAACTGGACTCTCAAAGACAAATGACTATTGTGCGGTTCCACTGCAACTCAAAGATCAACTGAACGAAAGATATTCTGGAGCCAGGAGAGCATACTTGAAAACAGGGGGTGATTTCCCATTTCTTTCACGTCCTGATGAAGTTAACTTGCATCTTCAGGTAAATACGACGCCCTGTACTATATTTTATATGTGCGAATCTGCCCCCATCTTAAGCTTATCTTAAATTGTGTGACAGCTGCATATGAGACGTGTTGGGGTAGAAGCCCGGCCAGATTTGATCCAGGTTGTTCCCAAAGGAGGTAGTGACAGTGGTCCTAGTGAAAAGAAGGATGAAATGGGTGGCGAAGATGACGCACACAAAGATGGCAAAGATCGCAATGAAAGCTTGCCTTCGGAAGGGCAGATACCTCCAGCGCCAGAGAGCTCAGAATCTCATAGCTTGGAGGATCAGCCACTAAACAATGCCGCAGCTTGTTATTTGGGTGGTGAGATGCTTTTATCGACTCATGGAGAAGATAAAGTACTTGAAGTAGTTGAAGAGATATTACTACGGTATGTGCACATGATTTGTGTAACTTGTTCGTTGTTAGGCATGAACGAAGCTGCTTCATGCCACTTCTTATCATTGATGCCAAACAGGTAGGAGTAAACTGGTCCGCTGCACATAGTTGCGTACGAACTTTGTAAGTTTTGTTGTGTTCAGTGTGATTCCTCGGTCTCTGTTTCACTAAATTCTTTTTTCTTTTTTTCTTCCTTACATTTGAACTTGATTTGTTGTATATTTTTTTTTTTTACCATGATTGTCATTTCGTCGAGGTTCAGATATTGTAGTTCTCGGACAAGGTATAAATATAGACCAGGCAGATTTTCTGAAAGGAAATGTTTTGAGTTTTTAAGACGTTTTTTTTACCATTGTCGTTTAGACCCTATAATGATAATGGCAGAAACGATCTACGCAAAATAAATATTACCATGCATGTCAAATTTTGCAAACATATAAAACTTGGAAAAACAAAACTGTTGGCCTTAGTTTGGCTTGATGAAAAACGTCGACCATTTATAAAAGCTTAAGATTTTCAGAACATTTTAGCAATGCAGTGCGTAGGCACCGTTAACTCCGTGGATGATACATGGGCGTTAAGAGAAAACACAAATAATGACAAGGATGCGATAGAAGCATCCCATATTAACAGAAGAAAACCGACGAAAAAGTTCACCTGAAAACATGGGTGCGTCTATGGCATCTTTGTAGACAAAAGCATTAAAAATTCAGTATTTTTATTTTTTGGAAACCATCATCGAAGATAAATCTTCTATATCCCAACAATACTCGACGTTCAAGAGAAGTTTATCATCGCATCCATATCAAATGAAGGGCTGCAATTTTCAAGCAGACCTTTAACCTCCCCTCTACCTCAAAAATGATCATTAAAATATATAAATACCTTTTAAAAAGAACATTCTGCATCAAGGCAACGAAATATTTTCCAGTTTGCTTTTTAAATCTGGCCAAACAAGTCTACAGATTCCATTAAATACCAAAATAAAAAACTGAAGTCAAAACTTAAGCCATAAATAAAAACCAAGTCACCACTCTCATTGATCAGCCTGAACTCTCTGGATGACTCAATTCGATGAGACCGAATCATATAGTCACCAATTGCCCTAACTGAAAATTATGCAACCAGGGTGCTAGCGGTTGTTGACTCGCTGCAAAGAAAAAGAAACTTTATTCAGCAGCTGCATATCAATCATGAAGTTTCCAATGAGATTTAGCAGGAAAAAACGCAAAGTCCATCGACCAAAAAAGAACTTCAAAAAATATAAGGAACAGATAAAATAAATATAAAAATATGAAACCAAAATAAAATTTATGGTGTAAAACAATCAATCTCAACATACAACAAACTTTTAACACCTATAAATATCTCAAGGAGTAACAAACAAATAAAAATATAAATGAATTATAAGGACCTTGGAAAGGCAAATTGTTCTAGGATAGCAAGATGTTGGTTGTTCACAATATATTGAGAAAACATATTTCAGATCCAGAGAACCTATTCTAACAAAATATAGAACTAGATTTTTTTATAATGAAAGTCAAATCACATAATCAAGCATATATATATGTATATATAATATCAAGAGTAAATAGCCCTGAAGATTATTAAAAGGTTAAAAATAAAAACGTGATGGAGTGCAGTCCATCATAAATAGATGGGTCTTCAAGTGCTAAAAGAACTGAAAAATATTGCATATTTGCAAAACTAGTTCCCCAAAAAAATCGGTTTCCAATGCACACAAATCAGGATGCAACGTTGGCATGTCAATTTTTTTACCCTCTTTGATAAATTCTTATACCTATACTACCAACAGACTAGTATTAATCTAAATGCACAAGAAGAAACTAGCATTAAATAGAATGAGGACACAAACCCACCCTGTTACCACCAGACTAGATCATTTGACCCAAATTTCTCAATCAAATGGTAATAAGAATGATAACTATTCTACATCAGCTGGACATTATAATAAACAAAATAATTTTCTTCCCCGTTTCCTTTCTGTACTTCCTTCTTCTTAAACGTTTGGGTACTATACTAGGCCCATTACATATTCTGTCATAATATTTTATCAGGTCAGTGGTCAATAAGACATAAAGCAAATCCAAACAATACATCGGGCTTAATACCAGAAGCCTAAGCGGACGACAGTTTAGAATGAGAAGAGAAGTAGCAATATCAAAAAATACAATTAAATTAATAATTTGATCATTTTAACATAAAGCATCAAAGATAAACCATAACAATGTACTACATTTTGAACATGCATGCTATATAATTACCAATCTAATTGGATAAAGTACGAAGAAAACTTACTATTTCCAAACTGGAGGAAGCTTCTTGGTTTTCTTGTAGTAGCGAGCAAGTCTGTGAATTCTGCTCTCCACAAGAATCAATCTGAACTTGGAGTCCTTGTCCTTCCTATTCCTCTCCAAATGCTTACGGATGGAAACTGCTTTCTTAATTAAGTGATAAAGATCCTCCGGAATCTCTGGTGCCAATCCTAAATAGTTCAACCCAAACTCCAGAGTCAAAAACGCTCGTAAAAAACGTACAACGATATGCTCGAGATATATGTGGAAGCAAGACATTGAAAAGAACAATACCATGGGCTTTAAGAATACGCAAGATTTTACTGCCAGTAACGCTTTTGACCTGAGCGATACCGTGAGAATCACGAAGAATAACACCAATCTGAGATGGCGTCAAGCCCTTCTTCGCAAACTTGCAGATATTATCATCGACCTAAATTCAAATGCCAAGAGGAAAAGAAATTCCAATTCAGGCGGATGAGCAACCAACCAAGCTCAGAATTTCCGGTATCATTCTCCGTTAGGCAAACAGATGAGAGAGTCTAGAAAACACTTACATCAGTAGAAGAGATCTTGAGCCAACTTGGCGGCGTCCTCTTGTAGGGTAATGCAGAGGCGGAAATACCTTTACTGCGAACCAAAAATGGAGGAAATGATGGGAATAATTTCAACCAGATTCAACAAAAGAAATCAACAGACGAAACAGAGAAGAATCGAAGATAAGAAACAAACCCTCGACTGTGCATACGCCCCATGATTTCGTGTAAGGCAGTGGAACACTTTTAGCCCTACTTCTCGAGTTCTCAAGTCCTGGACGGCCGAATCACCAAAACCCTAGAAGCCATTGGCAGAGCATTTTATAGTGTCACAAGAATGATGATTGAGATCTGTTACTGTTGGGCTTAATGGGCCTTCGTCGTTAAAGCCCAACTTCCATAATCAAGCCCACATCTCGTAATTACTTTCAGAAATTGTAATAACTATCCTCCCAAACACTAATATTTACGCACAGTTCTTATTTTATTTTCAAAACTGCCCCATCCATATGCTATCTACGGTTTTTTCTTTTAAATATAAATATTCCCGTTTTATGCCAAATACCTAATTGTACTCTTAATGATTTCAAAAAAAAAAAAAAAAAAAGAGCTATCCGTCTGTTTAGCATTTAGAGATTCTTATAGTTTTTTGGCTACGAGGCATTTTGGTCCAGTTTTGTCCTGCATAGAAAGATTCACCAGATTCACCGTCGTTGGAATTACTTACCTGGGATTAAAATATTTGAGATTTTTTTAATTGTATTCATTAGAAAAATATGTGGGATTAAAGGTTGTTTGAGAATAAGATATTTAAGAATAAAGATAATTATATTTGGTTGGATATATGTATAAGATTGAGATATCTATAAATAAATTATATATTTTTTTATTTTGTGTGATTAATATAAATATAAATTTTATTTCATTCTAAATACAGCTAAATTTATGTCATTAATTTTATTTAGGCATCCATCTTAATAATTATTATAAAAGAAATGTGTTTAATAAAATTAATCGTTGGAAAAAAGCATTTCGGGTACAAAGTCGTAGCATCTCAAGATTGAACGCAGACAAAATGGTAGGTGACAACCAAGTTACAACCTATCTGAAAGTCAAAATCAAATAGCAATTTTATTTTAATTATATATTATTTATTATCTTTTTCTTTGGATTTCTATATATATATATATATATATTTATTTATTTATTTATTTAGGCATGCATGCTTTTAGGCATCAGTTACTATAAAAATTGACTGTTAAAGGTCATTTTTACTTTTAGGGGGACATTTTATTCCCAAAATTAGGGTATATAATTGAAATTGAAAACTTAGTATATGTTTGATATATAGATTTGTACGTACCAGTTTAGTAACCTTCTCGTATATAACTATGTTTCTTGTTTTTCATTTTTTTTAACATTTTCAAAATTGCATAGAAAATTTAGAAATAACAAAAACAAATTTTTTCTTTCTTGTTCCCATTTATAATTTGTCTCAAAACACAAATACAAAGATTGTTTGTTTTTATGATACTTGGATCATGCCATTCATTTATTTTTTTATTAAAAACAAATAAACAAAAAAAAGAAGAAATATTACCAAACAAACTCGAAATTTATTGATCATGTTTAAGTTTTTACCATTATAATAATATAAATTACAAACTCACAAATCAAATAGAAACCACATATACTATATATATATAGACACACACCATGCAACGTAAGCTACACAAATTCCAATACTTTTAAAATTTTATCTTTTAAGATGCAATGCTAAACAAGTAGACACAACTCAAATTTTAAGGACAAATATTATGTCTTATTATTTCCTTTATTTATCAATAATATTCACAATAAACAATAAAAACATAAAATTTTCGAACAAGAAGATTAGACACATTAACCGTTACTTTAAGAATCAAATATAATTGTTAATTTCAACTCAACTTAACTCGTTAAGATATTAGTAACTTCTCTACTAATTCGAAAGTTTGAATTTTTACTTTCACATTTGTAATATTATACCATTTATAAAAAAAAATTATAATGATCAAACTTTATATTATAATCATTCGATAAAGTAATAAACATGTCATTTCATTTTAGAGGATTTATGTATGAAAGTTAACCAGAATCTAACCGAATCAATACTGAACTAATTGCTATGTCTGATTGAACCATCAATTTTTAGATATCAGTGTTTTTATCTACTAGCTATACTCGGATGATCAATATACACCACAATCTTGATTTAAGAGGAAACATATATGATGAACGTTATATTAAGATTTAGAAGCATGATATATTAATAAGAAATATATAAGTTGTTGTAAAAAAATAATAATAATAAAATAAGAAATAGATAAGTTTGAGTTATAAGTGTTTATAGGTTGGTTGTAAATTTAGGTTGAATCCAACCCAGCACAACCATGAAAGGATCACTCATTCAAACTATTTTATTAGAAAAAAAATTGATATCTTAAACATTTATTTACATACATACGGGGAAAAGAAAAACAACACTAAGAAAACTAAACAAAAAAAAGTTGTTGGAAAATAAATAATCCATAAAACTTACTCGATGAAATAAAATTAACATAAATATATACCTATAAAAATTTATGATACATAGAAGAAACAGTTTTAAAATTGATTCTATGCACTTCTTTATGTTGGTTCGTTGCTTGCATGATCCTTCTTTTATCTTGGTTTCCCTCTAGACTACTTGACACACATGCGTTCGAATTAGTTCAATTCAAGTCAAATTTATTTCACGTGACTTCTCGAATCAATCCGAAGTTTCATTTATTTGAATCCAATCCAATTTAGAGTGATCAAAAGTATCTTTTTTTTTTCTGAAGTGGAGCATCATATGATGGTTGATTGGGCAGGTGGGGAGTTTGGTTGGAGACAGAGGCATGAGACAGTGACACAATTCAATTTGACACTAAATTAATTAGTTTCGGTTTGGAATTGGAATTGGAACAATGGGCGCAGGCCATATCTATTATCCAGTCAAAAGTTTGATCATTCATACGTTTGCCAATTGGCAGCCCTTCAAACCTGAATCTCGTGATTTATTTTACCTTTCGGTTCCGCCGGGATATTTGAGTACACCTCACTCCTTGCCAGATTATATTTAATTATTTAAACGACGTGATATAAATATGAAATTTTGAAACCAGAAATTTAATAAAAAATATAGTTGTATTCTTTATTTCTCACTATTTTCTAACGTATTTGGTAGAGTAGATTTGAAAACTAAATCTCAATTTAATGTTGTTTTAGAATTTACCATAGGAAATAATTTGTTTTACAATAATACAAAGGTGAGCTTGACATGACGTTACAAGGCTGAAAAACTTAGTTATAAATGGAGAAGATTCATAGCATAAAGTAAGAATAATCCGGGCTTTGGTGAAACAAAAGTAAATTCGTAAAAAAAAAATTTATAATCCTGATTAAGAAAAGTTATTGTAATTAGCTAAAATGCTATTGCAATTTTTTCTAATGTTAGATTACTTAATAAAAATATTTTAAAAATTATTAAATTTCTAAAAAGCATACACATTAGAAGTATTTTAGATAAAGTACTTAATCTTCCTATAACCACTTGCTTATAAACACTTATCCTAAAATCATTATAAATATGGATGGATGACATGACATATCACAATTTATATAAAATATTAAATAGAGAGAATGGTTTTTTTTTTTTCTTAGGTGGAAAAAAAGAAGCCTATATGGACATGAGGTGGCCACCCTATCTATCCTTGAGTTTTATCTTTGCTGATTTGTTAAGGGGATGGATTCGACCTAATCAAAATTCAAAACGGCTACTTTTACCACATTCTCGTCTAGACCCTTCTATTCTTTTTTTCCACCCTATTTGCTCTTTTAAATATATATCTGCAATTTTTCTTTTTTCTTTTTTCTTTTTTAAATATTCTCTCTCATTTTCAACTCACAGTCTGACTTTTCAAATAAATAATAATTAAAAATTAGGAGCTGAATATGGAAACTCGGGTATGTTGTTTTGAATAGAGTATACTTTTCAAATATGACAACTTTACAACTTAGTTTCATTATATTGATCAATGTTTAATATTTGTTTATTTTTATGTGCTTTTATGTATACAAAAAGTCTATAATATACAAGGAGAAAAAACGGTCGTGGAAACTAATTAATCTATATTAGGTTTGTGGGGTTATGCTTTGTAAAAAGTAGTAAAAAATGGTGTTTGTTCCAAGGTTTTTTATTTTATTTTTTTTAAATAGTGCGACTTTTTTAAAACTATATTTGACATTACATTGAGTTTTTTTTTTTGGGAATTATGATATTTTACAAAATTTCAAATTTTCTGCTATATTTAAAATATAAGCTATTTATGTCAATAGTTCTAAGCTAAATATCAAATTGTAAACACATAGACCATAGTACAAGTTCAACATATAAAAAAAATACAGTCGTCAAAATGATAAATTATTGAAGAATGACGTTAGTTTAGTTTTGTGTGTTAAATTGATGAGAGAAAAATCACAAATATATCTTGAATAGATTTTGTCAATCTAATCCATGAAAATAAATTTACCTTTTTTATTTAAAACTTAGAACACGTTTACAAGTCACTTTTTTTATTAGGTAACCTAACTGTTTCTTTTTTAATTAAAAAAAAAAAGAACATATCTATAACAACAAGGAAACAAGTAATAAACAAATTTAATCTTAATAAAGAAAAAAAAACACGATAAAGTTTAACTAATCAAATTCTCACACGAGAAGTGCAATAAAAACACATACCATTAAAATGAAAAACACAGAAGCAAGCAATTTGAAGGTCGGCAATATAATATATCCATATAAAGTTTCATAATGTAATCCAGGATTTTTTTTTTTTTTTTTTGGGTGGTGGATGGTAATTTTAAAATATATTGGTTGACAATTTTTGGAAGATGAAGAAAAACCACGGTGGTAATCCAATCTATCCACGTCGGAAAAAAGTGGGCAATGTCAACGGTCAACCATATCTAATTTTTCACTTTACTTTTTCTATGCCTCAGAATAAAAACCCCCCACCCCCAAATTCCACAATCAACTCTTTCAGTTTTTCAAACCGGAAATTGCTTTTGCGACTTGGAGGAGAAGAAATCGGAGAATAAAACCCTAGATTACGAATCCAATTGAGGAAATAGGAGGTTTAGGAATTGAATCGTACCGGAAATTTGGATATGAAGCTCGTTTGGTCCCCTGAGACGGCTTCCAAGGCCTACATCGACACCGTTCAATCTGTAAGAAGCTTTCGAAATATGTGTGGAACTTTGCTTTCTGTTCTTTGTTTTTTGGTGGAGCTTATGATTGATGTTTTTCAGTTTCGTGTGAAGTGTGATCTCCATCGGGAATCCGGCGTGGCGGAGCTGATTTCTGCCATGGCGGCGGGATGGAACGCGCAATTCATCGTTGAGACGTGGTCGAGCGGCGGAGCGATTGCGACGAGCGTTGGTCTGGCGGTGGCGAGCCGTCACACCGGAGGGAGACACGTGTGCGTAGTTCCCGACGAGAGATCGAGGGGAGAATATTCTGGAGCGCTGGAGAGGGCGGGATCGGCGCCGGAAGTGATCGTCGGAGAGGCGGAAGAGGTGATGGAAGGACTTGTGGGGATAGATTTTCTGGTGGTGGATAGCCAGAGGAGGAATTTCAGTGGAGTGCTGAAATTGGCGAATCTGAGCTCGAGAGGCGCGGTTTTGATTTGCAAGAATGCGAACTCGAGGAGCGATTCGAGTTTCAGATGGAAAAATGTTACCAGTAATGGAACGCGGCGGCTGGTTCGATCGGCGTTTCTGCCGGTGGGGAAGGGTTTGGATATCGCGCACGTGGCGGCGAGTGGAGGAAATTCAGGTTCCGGCGAAGGGAAGGGAAGATGGATCAAGCATTTTGATCGACGATCGGGGGAGGAGTTTGTCATTCGGAAGTGACTTTTTGGGGAAAACTCTGTCGTTTTTGTTAATACAGTTTTGTCATTTGTGTATAACAGATGTTTCTTTTTCCATTTTTCTTTTTTTCCTTTTTTTTTTCCATTTTGGGGGAGGGATTAATTGTATGTACTTATCAAATTGACTGACAATATTTATTGTTTTATTATGTGAATTTTTTTCTCTATTTGAGATAAACAATTGTTAATTTAAATCTATATTTTAAGCCTATCAAAATCTTTGTAGCTTATGGCTATTACATTTAGTCCTTATTATTTAGTAAAATTTTGATGAAATTAAGGCTGAGAAAACGGGTTTCTTGGATTCTTGCATGTATCTCATTATAGGTGTACTGTCTTAAGTTTCATGTCCATGGATTTAAAGAGTAACTCAACATTTCCATAGAAAAAAATCTGACAAGGTATTAAAAATATCAACAAAATGCACATAATTTAATATTAATAATTTTAATTTATTTTAATAGAGTGAAATGTCGTTAAAATTTAAATATTTGTTATAAATTTTTTATTTTTAATATTTCAATAAATATCTCATCGACGTCAACATTTTTCCGATATTTCAAAAATTGTGACGGCATTTCTATTGGCATAAGTTGACAAGTTTGACCATACTAAACCCCCTCCCATATTTGGGCGACTCAAGCTTTGCCCCTCCTTGTGGACGTAATGTTTGCCCAATTTTGGGTGGCTTGCCGTCCTCACATGCTAAGTCCCGTCAAGATATAGGAATGAAATTAAGGCTTAATTTTTCATTTTATTTTTTTGATTCGCGAGTAATTTTTAAATTTAGTTTTATAAATTTTTTAATTTCACCACTAATTCAAGTTTGATTTTATTCGATCAAATTAAAAATAACGAATAGAAGTCATAGTGATTTTTTCTAAATAGGAAGAAAAAAAATCCTCAAAGCCTCATGCATTATATATAGTATTCCTGAGTTCCGCATTAAATATCAAAATGTTTTAAACATGGTTAAAATTTCGGATCTTTTAATTTTCAAAAATTAAATTTCAGGCTCCTAATTATTGACTTCAACTCTCTTCCTGTCTTCTCTCTTTCCTTCCTTCACATGAACAAGGAGGGAAGCGGAGGCCACGGCCACGGCCCTCCACAACTGACTTTAAGATGAGATTTGAAAGCTTAAAAAAAGAATCTGCAAAAACTTTGGAGTTAAAACAAGTTTCAAATACAAGCACTTGCTAGTTTAGAGCAAAAGGTTGCAATAATATGACTAATTTCCAAGGGGTGGGAGTCCCCATGAAATGATGCAGATGGACCATCATAACAGGCTACATCTCAAAACTAAGGTGGTTTCCATAAAGATAACAAATATACATTAGACAAAAAAAGGTACAATGTGCTAAAACTGAACACAAACTAATACAATTTGTGAATCACTTAGCAGACCAATGGATTTCCAACTATTATTATACACATACGGCGCACCACCTGAGACTAAGAGAAGACCATTGTTTGTTAAGATACTAATATTTAACTGACCTGTCACTCAATTCAAGGATCAAGATGATGTCTTCTGGGCTCAGGCTCTCTCCCTTTGATGCAATCACTCGAGTCGTTATGTATCAAACAATGGAAGCTTGCACACTTTCCGTGAGATTGATTCTACAATTCCTGAAGTAGATTCAAGTCTGACCTCATTGGATATTCAATACCTTCGAGATTAGGCATCCGCTTTAAGTCGTCTTGTGAATATGCAGGGATAAACCAGTACTTCTTATCCATTCCAAACACCTGATTTATTAATTATTTTAGTGTCACAGGCAACAGAACTCCCAGTATATAAGTAATTGATACGAGGCATCTTATCACAATTCTATCCAATTACATAAGTTGTTCCACATTGCATACGCTATTCATTTTTAATTTTACAAGTTGAGCTCAATTTTTATAAGATTATTTTTTTTTTCTTTTTATTGATACTCATACTACTATCAAATATTTGAATTGTAGACATTATTTCAAAAAGTTGAGGTCCTTGAGGATATTATAGATATAGATCGTAGATGATAATATTTTCAGGTTTGTTATCCTAAAAGATGTGTGACCACATATGTATTTAACTAAATGAATGTAATTATTAGACAACTTCAATGTAGAATCAAGATGATAATAGGAATAATGCTAGCAGATTCCTTTTGCTTGAACTCTTGAAAAGGTATGGGAGCAGCGAACCAGAGTTTGTCAGTTGTTACGCATATAAGATAGGGATAGTTGGGAGTTGGGACCCATGTGTCATTTCGGAATAAAGACATATTTAACATTATAAGCCTGTTTTGGGAAAGATGGGAAATAGGGGAGTCCCGTAAGCTGAGAGCAGTTGGGTAAGTACTAGAGAAAGAAACTCTGGTAGAGACTAGAGAGAGTATCAAGCCTCTGGAAACTTGGGTAGCATGTAACTTAAGCTGAGTGCAGTTGATATTATAAGCCTGTTTTGGGAAAGAAAAATGGGAAATAGGGGAGTCCCACTAGAGGAAGAAACCCCGGTAGAGACTAGAGAGAGTATCAAGCCTCTGGAAACTTGGGTAGCATGTAACTTAAATAAGGCATCAATAATAAAAATCAGCGTCTAGCTCTTGGGCACTAAAAGATACCATACCATCAATAAGTGAATGCCCACAAGGAAGAGGTAGTGAGTTGAGAAGAAGTTACCTGCTCGAAATTTTTTCTGCGACCAAGGTCATAATGCCATCTTGGAGTGGTTTTCTTCTCATATGCCTGGCAAGATCATTCAATGAAGAATCAAATATCCCAAGGACCAATTAAGCATCTTTTGGATGTTTAAAAGCAAAACACACAAAATACTACTTCTAGAAGGCTACCTCGATGGTGGTGGTATTGGCTGCCACCAGTGATATGTGCAATATCAGAAAACCCATAACACTCAATGCAAATGTTAAATTCAAAACTGCAAGGAACAGGCAACTAAAATCAGAGATAAATGTTGAAATATTTAAAATATTGAACAAAGTTGTCACTTAAGCACTTACTAAATGTGATAAAAATTGCTGCGAGGCTGCCAGCTGTTCCTGTTATATCACCATCGGAAAAGAAAGCTAAGAAGTATGGCAACAATGACAAAGTGACCAGGGTTGTTACAAGAAATGTGTAAAACTGCATGAAAATCAACAGAATATGATGATTAGTGGAACTTCTGCATATCTCTAGTTAGCATGCAGTTCTTATTAAGTGATGAGCTAAAATTGCAGCTGGGCATAACAGGAAGAAGAAGAAGAAGAAAAAGAAGAAGAAGAAGAAGAATAAGTTATATGCAACTACTCTAGGGATAAAAAGTTTTTTCTACCACAGATCAGAAACAAAAGAGCAAGATGACTTAATAATCTTAATGAAGTTGCCATAACACAATCAGAAAACATCTCTATAGCAGAACTAGAATATCTATGATGGCAGGTTATATTGACTAACAAGTTACCAAAGAACTAGAGTATACCCATGAGTGTATAAGTTCCATCATTTATTTTCTGACTAGATATATTAGGTACCAAAGGGGGTCATCCATCACGAGAACCATGAAACAAAGAACTAGATATCAGATCAAACCAAATACTCTGGTTATGCATACCAAAAATAGCAGGAAGTACTTGTAGTTCTTTGCTCCAACACAATTGACGACCCACACACAATGATGGTCCATTTTCAATACACACTTTCCACCTACCAAAGGAAGCATAATTAGTATTTATATCTAGTTTACCAACTAGGACCCCACAGTAAGTTTCAACAGAAAATAAAAACAATTGGAAAATGTCCAACTAAGAACTTACAAACAGAGCAATGATGGCAACGAGGCGGTTTAAAATGGTTGCACTTGCGACAAAATCGTGTTTTTTGATTTGCAGAATCAATTTGCACATGCACAGCACCTTGTTCTGGCACTGCACCTGGACCACTATATTCTGATGCCATTAATGGATCCACATCGCTTTTCTCTTCATCCAATTCGGGTCTCCAATAAGGTGGAACACACCCCGGATTTGTTAGCACAACAGAAAAGTAGCTCCATAATAGCATCACCAACTACATAAACAGATTGGTAAATTGAAAGTTTGAAGCTACATGAAATATATAAATGCTATTCTAAAGGTGAACATACAAATATTACCACAACACAATATTTCAACTTGAGAATAGGGCATAGTGTTAATTCTCTTTCTAGTTCTTCTGGCTCCCAGAACCGTTGTATTTTCTAACAAACCGAAAGGGATAACCCAAGATATATTCTGCTGTTCTACGAGCTAATAAAGCAATAGATTCGTCTCAGTAGAAATAGAAGAAGAAAAATCAAACGGTTGTTACCCAGAGCAATTGATGAATGCACAAGGTAATCTGAAGTTTGTACTGTTAAGAAATTTGAACACTTCGCTGAAATTTTGACCCCTAAGCCCCAAGACTAATATGAAACAATATACAATAAGCAATAACTCCCCCATTACGATGTTAATTTTTCCAGAATTTACATTCTCTAAGCAATTCATCTTAAGCTAAGTCAAAATTCGCGTTCCCAAGACTCGGGCCGAAAAAAAAAAGAGAAAAACAGGAACAGCCGAGGTCCCCAACTAGCTAAAACGATCAACAGTTCGCATAGTGCACATACATAATTGCAGCTAAAAGAGGAAAAATATATTACCAAAGAATGAAACAAGAGCAAGACTAGCAGAGCTGTAAGCGAATTGAGGTCTCCGCGAAAGAGAGCCGGACCATAGTTGGCGACGACCAAAGCGTAATAGGAGAGACCGACTATACCTAGAACTAAGAGGATCATGATGGAACCCAGAGCACGCAGTGCCGTGCAGAATTTGAACACATTCCACGACATAGCTGCTCCTGATCTCGCAAAGCGAAACGATGAAAATCACGAGCAGAGTCCGAAATCGGAGTCAAAAAGGAAACCGCGAAGACGATCGGAGTTCGGATTTCAGAGCCGATTGGGGAACATTTTTAGGAAAATTAGGAAACGAAGGAGAATTCAGACGGGAAGATATTAAAAAAATCCGACGAACGGCGGAGGACTAATTCCAGAAGATGGAATGGAAGTCCCCCTAATACAAAATTATAAAGATAATTCCGATTAAATTATTCAAAGAGTTCCGACTCGTCGTTTCAGTAGCAGTACTAAAACAAGAAAAATATCTATATTTCTATTCCCAAATGTAGTGTGAAAAAACTTTTGATTAATTGAAATCTGGATAAAATTTCAGATATAACTTTATTTATTTTATACTAAATTAAATAAAATTAAAAAAAAACATAAACTATCTGATTTCTGCCATTATTCCAAACTTAAAAAAGATTTTAATTATACTTATTCCACATATCCTCTAAATGTCTTAAGGATACAAAAAGGACGAAAGGTTAAATATGTATGGTTTGATATTTAAAATATAACTTTTTATTTTACCTTTAATATTATAATTAAATTAATTGTAAACATAAGCATTGTAATTGACATAAACTCATTTTTCTTGAGATCGGAAGTTCAAACCACCCTATCTCCATTATGTTGTACTCAAATAATTAATTAAATTAATTTAATGTCGAATGCTTCAAATAAATAGTTACTCAAATAACAAGTTTGAAATTTAATTGAAAAATAACACGAGTATGTTTAGAGTGTAATTTTATAATAACGTTTTCTTAAAGTTGGTCTTTCACCTAACTAAATGAGATATATAATATTTTATTTCGTGATGAGATATAAAATATTTCACATATCAACTAAATCTTAAAAACACATGCACACACTCCTCCCTCAAACTATTTTTTAAAAATATTTTGCTTAGTCACAAAATTTAATAGCAATCATCTCGTTAGTTTTTTTTTCTAGGAGGAGAGGTACAATTTTTTATTAATAGAAACGACCTCTCAACATTTTATCTTGTCAAACAAATATATATATAGAAAGGAAGAAAGATCAAGTTTAGTAGAAGTTTTCTCAATAGCAACGAAATTTTTAGTATTTTTGTGTTATTTATCACACCAAAACATTCAAGATCATTCGGTCAAAACTATAGAGAAATCTTTTGAAATTAATTTATTAAATTTTTGTCTAACCTAAATGGACAACCATGCGGCTATGTCCATATGAAAGACATAAGAAGAGATTCAATATCTTGATTGGACCCTCTATATCACAAAATGAAGAACAAATGTAAAGATCAACCAAGTGGTAATTTTATATAAAAAAGGAAATCATAGTACTCTCATAGTTTACATTTGTTCTTCTATTTATGTGAGATCAACCAAGTGGTAATTTTATATAAAAAAAGAAATCATAGTACTCTCATAGTTAGGAGTTGAGATTATCTACTACTCTTGTAGTACCTAGTCATATAATATGGTAGGTAGCTAGAATTGGTAAAAATTTCCCAAATTTGAAGAAGAAATATATGCTAGGCCATGGTAGTCGCAAAACAATCACATTACAAACAGACGTCCTCAATAATTGTTCCAAGAGAGCACCAGCAAGAAATCTTATATTAACACACATGCATATCATCCAAAAAAGTCAACCCCTCCTTCAAATGGTAAAAAAGGGAAATTATAAACTATGCACGAGCAAGATAGAGAGAGATAGAAAAGACTTATGTTCGGCTCTATGAAGTCCAAATTAGGTAAATTCTTGAAATGGGTTAGTTGGTCTATAGAGATAGGAGATTGAACCTCTAATCTTTAAGAAATAACGACCAGCTAATATTAAGAATTTTTTTTTTACTACAATATGTGTGAGCGAGGATAAGGATTTAAACTCACGACGTTTTTAGTAAACATAGATGTTTTAACCCGTTACTCTTAAAAGGTTGGTTTAAGATTGCTTCTGATGAAGTAAAAGTTGCAATGAAAACAACATTTGAACTTTTATAGGCTTCCGTTATATTGGAGCAGCGGCGAAAGCCATGGCCAAGGGCAGCAGCCAGCTGTGTCAGATGCCAGATAGAAGAGACACAGGAAAGCGGGGACATTATGGTTACGATTTTTTTTTCTTCTTTTTTTTTTCCAGAAATTTAGCCAAAAAGTTTCAAAATTTAAAAAACATAAGAGAAAATTGGAAGGAAGAACAATCAGATTTTTGGGAAAAGAGTTTTAAAATAAATCTGGTTGAAGTAGTATGTTTGATATATTATTTTAACATTTTTTTATCCTCTATTTTAAACTTTGAACTTAAATAATAGCATATTATTTTATACATACGTTTTCATTTGTTTATGCAAAGAATTGTACAACGCTGTTCTTCGAACCAAGCTCGAACCCGGTCCCCGACTCGACTTGAACTCAAGAGCGAACCTGCACAAGAGGGTAAACTCTCTGACGCTCAAGTCAGTCTAGGTCAGGCACAATATAAGGTTCGAGATGAGATTCGATACCTGAGCGTGAAATCAGACCCTCAATTTATAGGTGGTGGGTCCGACAGTACTCACGACCGACGGTTACTTTTGTCCTTTTTCATGTCGAACTTGTCTGGTTTGAGCAGATCGAACCCGTCCAGGTCGGACCGGTGCTTTTTACACTTAGCCCCCACGATGGGTGAACCCAGTCTTCTCGGCAGGTTCGAGGTGGACCTGGTGGTACTTTTATTCCCGAAACACCAATGAGCATCCTCCATATGTCCCAAGTATTTTTACCCCAAACATCATTGATATTATCTTGATATTATCTTATGAATATTTATTTTCAAAGTTTAAAATTTTGCAAAAGTAACCTACCTTAAAAATCAATTAAAAAATAATAATTTTTAACTTTTGATAGAAAGGACAGTGATGGCCATGCAAAAATGATTTTGGTTGATCAAAATCATTCCCAAACATACCCTTAGTCTATCATAATTTTAAATATAATAAGAAACACAATATTAAAGAAAAACTTATGTCATATATACTGAAAAAAAAATTAATAGTTTTAACGGTTTTTAAAGCATATATTAAATTATATTTATTCATTAAAATTCTTGCAGGTTATATGAGCTAAAATATGGAACAGAATATAATAGAATTAGTTTTTAGACATTCAACTCCAATTTTTAAAAATATGCCAATTTTGTTGAGCTATTACTTTGGCATTGGAGAAGATATTTAAAATCTATACAAAAACTGAGAATTTGGAACTAATTAGCAATCTTTTGAGTACTTTGCAAATCAAATTATGTATATAGTCTTGCCTTAAGTAATATTCTAAACAATTAAATTAGCTCATTTCAATTAAATAACATTTTAAATCAATTGATTAATAAATTACTATCTGAAGTCGGTGAATTAATTAGCCAATGATTGAAGTTAGTTAACATTTAAGCAATATCACTATTTATTATCCATCTAATTTTCCACTTATAAAATCTCCAATTGAAGAGAGTGTGAGTGTGAGAACCATAATTCAACTATGTAGACTATTTGTTATATAGCTTTACAACTTAATAATACAAGAAAGTAAGGTGCGAAATAATGAGTGCCCTAATTTATTTATATTTCTCTTGGAGGGGTGATTTTGACATTTTTGTCTATGCTAAAATTATTTGTATTTTACTGTCAAATATTAGGTAAGAGTATAAGATTTTGACATGACCCAAATCAATTTTGTTTAGTTATTTGTTAAAAATAAATCACTTTTGTTATCGTCAATATCACCTCCATTTAATCAATAATAATATACAAGTTATTTCAAAATGGGTAAAACTGATTTTAGTTGGGCTGAAATTACTCTTAAGAACCAAATAGTAATGGAATGTTTTTAGTATAAGCAATTAATAATGGTGAGTATGATGATTCTTTTTTGTAGTCCTAATGCAAGACCCGTCGATAAGCTAAGGCTACGACATGAAGGAAGGTGAAGAAGTCCATTCGATATTTTTGTTTCGCCTTCGCCCTCTCGTGCACCCACCATAGGCAGGGTTGATCCCACGACTAAGATAGTCACGCAGCAGCTTCTTGTGGAACCTCTTTGCAAATCGTAAGGTCCGTTCGGTTGGACTCAACCTCAGAGAAAGGTTGAGTTAACAAGAAAGAAAGGTCTTTCGCCGACATAGAGGTGGAGGTTCGAATTCAAGACCTTTTAGCGGGAGATAGTGACTAATTCAAAACGCATAACAATATAATCAATTTCATGGTTTGAGATTGATTGTATTGTTATTTTTTTCTAAGTTTCTATCACTAAAAATCAACGTATTACATTGCAGCTGACGATGAGATCTAATATGAGCTAACTTGAAGCTACAAGAGATTTAAGAGAAAATAGACAATATCCATATCCTCTATCTCAATTTCTTATCCGAACTTTCAGGTGAGTTTAATATGTGAATTTGATGTTATTTCGTGAATGTAGTGATTTTGAAGTATCTTTGTAATGCAGTCAACAGAACATCATGACTCTGAGATGGAATCATCGAATCAAATGCTTTGAATATAACTTTGAACAATTCTCGTAGTATAAAATTGGTGTTTAACGAAATTCTTTGTATCGATGGATTTGAACTGAACAAGAGTATGTCAACTATGTCTATGCCGACCTCCATCAAATCCTAAATTCGATTGTAGAAAAAGCATTGAATAACATGTTATCTATATCGATAATATGCTGGCAAGGAAAATAGCTTAGAGAGACTAATTTCTATAGTGAAAAAACAATAAAAAGCCTTTTTGCAATGTTTTACCCTTTTTTTACATTGTGTTGAATCCAAATTATTATTATTATATTGTCAAGTCAAATAAAAAATAACTTCAAACTAAGGAGGAGGACAATTCTAAGATTTATTAGTAAAAGTACTAAATTTAGCAATTTAAAAATACATGTATAAAATCTTATAAGCCTCAAAGTACATGTATTTTAACCAATATAGACTTAGCTATAAAGAAGAATAAGGAAAAAAAAGGGGAACAAACAACGTACCTATTAAGTATAGGATTGTTGGAAAGTTTATGGTAAAATTGAACTTCTCTGTTTCATGTAACTTGATTATTCTCTTGTAACCTTGTCAATCTCATTTTCGTTACTTATTTTGTGGGTCCTATTTTGTAACTTTTATCATTTCTCGTTCGTCTATTAATGAGATCTATAATTTTTTAATTAATTGTTTTATACTTTTATTATTTGCTTATCATATATAGTACTAATA